ATTCCTGTAATCCCAGAAGCTCAGGAGGCTGAGGCAGGAGGATCTAGAGTTCAAAGCCAGCCTCAGCAATTTAGTGAGGTCCTAAGCAACTCAGCAAGACCCTGTCTCTAAATAAAATATTAAAAAGGGCTGGGGGTATGGCTCAGTGGTTAAACACCCCTGGATTCAATTCCCAGTACCTACCCCCGGGGGAAAAAAAAGAATGAGAAGTTCTACTCCATGTATGTATAATATGTCAAACTACATTCTTCTGTCATGTACAACTAAATAGAGCATCAACAAAAGATTTCCTGGGCTGGGGCTCGGCGGCAGAGCACTTGCCTACCATGCGTGAGGCACTGGGTTCCATCCTCAGCACCACATATAAATAAATAAAATAAAGGTCCACTGACAACTAAAAAAAAAAAAAGACTTTCTGGTGATACCATGTGTGTATCTGATGTGAACTGCTCCTTTCTGGATGACAGATGGCATTTGGGGACCATGGTGGAGGTGAAGAGATGCCCACGAAGGAGACTTAGGAGAAGATGAAGCCTGGGGGTCAGAAGTGGAGGCCAGAGATGAGGAGAAGCAAGTTGACTTCACAGACAGGCGTTGGCAGGAATCCCAGGCTGGGTTTTCTGGGAATCACAGAGGAATGATTCCCTCGTAACTGGTCCCGTGGCTCTTGCTCTCGCCTCACCAGAGAGACTGCTGGGAGTCACAAACCATGAGTAGACCCTAACGGGCCTCTTCTTACTGTAAGGATAATCCAAATTGCAATTCCTGAAGTGTGACCTATGTTTATAGAGAGCAAAACTCTGCTGCTCAAGGGGAGGCTGGAGAATGAGGAGATGCTTCCCAAAGTCCAAGTGTGAACTAGAGAGTCCCTCTCCTTGGAGATACCAAACCTTGGCAAGGGTTCGGACAGGTGGGAGAGTGGCACCTTGACCGCTGGATACTTGACTGGCGAATAGGAGAGAGATGAGATGATCCATGAGCAACTGGTTTCCGTGTGCGATGGTGTCCGCACAGGAACAGGTGAGAAGCAGGGATTCTCTGAAGGGGTAAGTGGACTGTAGAAGTTTGATGAAATATAAAAACAAATTTGCAAAAAGGCGATAGCATCCAACAAGTCCATATTTCAATACTTGAAAGTGTTAATAAGATGTATGCACCCCGGGCCAAGCTGGTGAATAAAAATGGAGACTGCTATGGTTTAGATGTGGTGTCCCCCAAAAGCTCATGCGTGAGACAATACAAGAAGGTGCAGAGGAGAAGCGATTAGGCTGTAAGACTCTTAACCCAATCCCTGAGCTCACTATACAAGTCCTGTACCACTGAGCTATTCCCTGTGTACTGTTTCTTTTTCTTTTTAAAATAATACTTGGAAAAGTGGTTCAAATTCTAATATTAAAATGTAAAGCTCTTGTTTGTTTTCCTCTAATGGGGTTATTTAGTATTTTAAAAATAAATAATATTTAACATTTTACAAAAGTGTTTTATATTTAATTACTTTTCCTATGAAACCTATGTTGGTATCTTTTTCTCTAAGTGGCTCATTATCTCAAAAGAATTTAATGAATTTTTTTTTACTTGTCTTATGACTTTAAATACTAGTAGCTTCACAGTTAGCTGAATTTATTTATACAGTTGGGTTTATTTCTGGATTATTTTCAGTTCCATTTATTTCTGTGGTCATAAATAAGCACCAAGAAGTCTTTGTTATTATATTTGATGAAAATATATTTGATAAAGTTGTTCTTGTCTCATTGCTTTAATAATTTCTTCTTGAGTCTTTAAGTTTTGCACTTGAACTCCATGATCGGGTTGGCTCGTTTGAAGAAATGCTCTTGAAATACTGTTTGTTAGTTTTTGAGGTGGGTCTCATTGTGTTGCCCATAACTTGGGTTCAAATGATCCTCCTGCCTCAGCCTCCTGAACAGCTGGGGCTACAGCTGTACTACCGCACCTGGTAAACATGTTAATTCATTCATTTTCTTTTGAAACTCGGGTGACAAGGGTTGAGTTAACCATGCTCCTCAATTCCTGACTAATTCTATCATTTTTCCACGCATTACTTACTTATTCCCAATTCTCTTCTTCCAACTCTCCACCCATATGATTCTAGAGAGCCTGATCCTTTAATTTGCAAAATTTGTTACTGGGGTGGATATATGTTAAAAATCACATATATGTTGCTGTTTCACAGTTCTCATGCTGAGTCTTACCTTTTTCAGAAATGGGAGCCATGATTTCGCTGGTTAGCCACGGTTTAAGTACATTCAGCCAATTGCATCGAACCATCGAGCGGTGTTTCCCTCTGCAGTTCCCTAGTCCTGGATACCCGGGCTGCTGTCTCTCCAGGGCAGGGAGCATGTCTCCGTCTGCGCTTGTCTCTGGGATCTATAGCTGGGGGCGTCTGCAGGGTTGTAAACCACATCATCATTCCTTGGCCGCACACTGGCAGCCCCTGCCCACACCCCAACTCTCAGCAGAGATCCCTCCACCCCCCCACACCTCAGCCGACCCTAAACACTCCTGTCCTTGTTGATTCTTACCTGAGATGTGAAGTGTCATCCCATTGTTAACACTTTCCATTTCTCTAATAAACCATGACTTTGGGCATCTCTTCTTAAATCTCTTGTGTTTATAAGTTTATTTGAATACATAAGATCCTCTGGGAAACCTCTGGGAATTCCTATGTTAACTCCCTTGTCTACTTGTCTCTTGGGTCACCTGTCATTTCACTTGTTAATTTGCAGGAATTCCTTGGATAATGAAAATATTGTTCTAGATCAATATGTTGATTGTAGACATTTTCACTGAATCATCTGAATGTGAATTTGGTCTATGATTGCGGGTTTTTTTTTTCTTTATCTTCCAGTTTGTAATTTGGAGCTTTTACGAATTCCTGTTGCTAAGTCACAAAAATGCAATGTTATCTTCTTGGAACTTTATCAGGCTAGGAAGGGGCGAGGAGTAGAAAGAGTTGATAAGCAGGTACAAAGTCACAGTGAGAGGGAACAATCCAGTGTTCTCCTGCAACTATGGATTGCGGTTGACAATAGCAGGGTGTTTACTTCAAAAGAGCTAGGAGAGAGGACTTTGAATAATTTCACTGCAAAGAAATGCTAAAGGTCGGCACTGATGGGTACGCTGATTAACTTTACAGTTTCACCTCTCACAGGGAGAGGGACTCCTCTCTGCACGCAGTGGACAAGGATGTGGTTCTTTTGGTTCACATCACGGGGTCTGCGGAACCTCCTTCATCAGATGCTAAGTTTTCACCTATTCGTGAGTCTGACTTGACACTCTGCTTAATGGGTCTGTTTTCCTATTCTTGCTGCAGTACTGCAGTTTTAAAATTTCTCATTTCATTTCATTACTATGCTTTTGTAACAGGTTTTCCTATCTGCCACATTGAGTTCTCCATTTTTATTCCTTTACACACAAACGCACACACATTTTAAAGTGAGGACTGAACTGGGGGGTGCTTAACCATTGAGCCATATCCCCAGCCCTTTTAATTTTTTATTTTGAGACAGGGTCTTGTTAAATTGCTTAGGGCCTCTCTAAGTTGCTGAGGCTGGACTCAAATTTTTCTCTTGAGATCCTCAGCCTCCCAAGCACCTGGGTTTAAAAGTATGCACCACATGCCCAGCAGTTATTTTTATATTAAATTAGTGCTTGACCAACTTGAACTCTTCCAATTAGAATAAGATTATCAATTCTTAAAAAAAATTCGGGTAGATTTTTATTGGATTGCATTGAATACATTGATTAATTTAGAAAAACATGATACTTTTGTAGTATTGTCATTCCACCCTGGAGTCTTGAGTGGATCTTATTTATTAAAATAAACTTAGAGAAACTTTATGGAGATTTTCAACTTTTGTTAACTCATTATACATGTTTTAAAACTTTTTCATGTAAATATCAGCACTTCTACACCCTTTGAATGTTGTGTTTTGCTGAGAAATGCTTCTAAATATACCAGATCAAGTTTTTGTTTAGTATTTTTGTGACTTTTATTTTCTAATGTTTAAACCTTTGATCCATCTGGGATTAGGACAGAAGGTCAGAGGGCAGCGGCAAGAGGGTCTCATGGGGCGGCAGTGAGGCTGGGTAGTCTTTCTGTTTGCTCCCTGGATAACTGTTTGGGGGTGCGGTTCCTTAGGGACATCCCAGCCCAGTTGCCCTTCCTGACCACGTGCATCAAGAAGAGCCTTCAGGCTGGGGATGTAGTGTAGTGGCACCCCCTTCTCCACAGAAAACCTTAACTAAGCTTCTTCAGAAATCTTCACCATAACTGATTTTAGGGCTATCAGCAAAAGAGTCTCTGCAAAAGAGTTCAACGTAGATAAACTTTCTGTTTGTCTGTTGCTCTATTTTACTTGGCCACTGGCCTGGAAGAGATCAGCCACTCCAGGAGCTGAATGCCCCTTTATTAGTTTTTCACAAACATTTATCCAGTATAATAATGTGTAGAAGTGTGTTTGCAAATGCAAAATGTGATTAAAATTAAAAAAAAAAAAAGAGAGAGACAGATCCTTTAACAAGGCCTCTGGCCTTGAGCTGGGCTTCACAGAGATGTCTACATTCCTAAGATAGAGAAGTTACCAGTTGGGCTCCATGGTAACAGCTCGAAGGGGGAGGGAAGAAAGGGAAGAAGCTCTCCCTCCCCTTCTCAGGTGTTGTCCTTGAAGGGTTAACTTGCCCAGAACAGTGCAAGGAAAAGCTGCTTTTCTGTGAACTTCTGCAGACTGTGAACTTCTGAGGCCCTCCCCTCACATGCTGGGTATAATGTTCTGAAACTTCCTGAATTTGGGGTTCAGGGGATTGATTGATTACAGCGAAAGCTGTGCCCTCTGAACCTGGTATAGCTAAATAAACCTGATTCCTATTCCTATTTGGTGTCTTGCCTCTTTGGCCCCTGCAACAATAGCTCAGTTGGTGGCGTGCTTGCCTCCCATGCACAAAGCCTTGGGCTTGATCCCCAGCAGCCCCCCCCCCCAAGAAAGGAGAGTCTGCCGTTGCACCCCCCAGTCACAGTCATCTCCCGCTGCTGTACCCAGGACGTTGCCCTCCCCGACGGCCGGGTCATCCCCAAAGGTCCCCACAGCAGCAGGGGGAGGAGGCTCCTGGGCACGGTGGTGGTCTCATGGGGCAGCACGGACCTCATCCTGATTGTCCCCTTTCCCTACAGGGAACGTCTGTGCTATCAGCATCTTTGGGATCCATCACAATCCATCGGTCTGGCCAGATCCTGAGGTGCTGCTCCTCCTCCCCATTCCTGGGGCCTGGTGATGGGGCGCGGACCTGACCTGGGACACCAGACTCTGTGCCTCTACTGCACCTGCCCGACTTCCCCCGGGGTGGCTGGTGTGCCATCTCCCAGCAGCCCTCTCTTGCCCTGTCCCCAGGTCTATGACCCGTCGCGCTTCGACCCAGAAAAACCCAGAAGAGGTCACCTCTGGCTTTTATTCATTTCTCGGCGGGGCCCAGGTGAGGGCAGCGGGCATGGAGGCGGGATGGGTGCGGGTGTGCAGAGGGGGCCTCGTCCGAACGCCCCATGCCTGATTGTGGGGCGCGTTTGGAACGGGATCCCAGGAAAGGGGTGTGTGTGGCAGAGTCCCCTCCCTGCTGCTGGTGCGAGCTGGGGCAGGAGTCTGGGCCAGGCCCCGGGACATGGGGACGCCCACAGTGGTCCAGGCGCGTCAGCGTCCCTCGCTGGCCCTCAGCCCGATCAGGGTCAGAGGGAGGATCCCGGGTCAGGTTGCGTGGGGATGGCCCTGGATGGGGGTCCCCGACACAGTGAGAGTCCCCACCCCGCCCGCAGGAACTGCACGGGGCAGACGTTCGCCATGAGCGAGATGAAGGTGGGGCTGGCGCTGACGCTGCTGCGCTTCCGCGTCCTGCCCGGGGACACCGAGCCGCGCAGGAAGCCCGGGCTGATCTGCGCGCAGAGGACGGGCTCTGGCCGCAGGTGAAGCCGCTGAGAGCAGTGACCCGCCGGGATCTGACCTGGGACCCACCTGGCCCCACCCTCCTACCTTTGCAGGTTCCCAGGAATAAACCATTGTCACTGGCGCTGGAGGCTCACCGAGCGCCAGCAGGGGGCGCGGGGCGGGGGACAGCGGGGACCCAGGGGTTGCCTGTGAGTGGCGAGGCGGGGCTGGGGTCTTGGAATCCGAGACCCTGACGCCCCTCTGGCTACTCCAGGGCCCCGGCGTTGATGGTGGACTGTCCCAGAGCCCAAGCAGGAAGTTTATTCTGCGGCCATGGCTCATAGGGAGAGGGCTGAGCGCGAAAGGACCAGGGTTCAGGACGAATTTAAGGGGCAAGGTTGAAGCTTTATGGAGCCCCTAAAAGTAGATCCCTTCCTCTGGGGTGCCCGGGTCCCCAACACAGAGGTCCTTGGCCAGCTTCTCTCTTTCAGGGGGATGAATATTCGTAGGTGGTGGTGGATATTCACGGGATTCTCACAGGATTCGGGGAGCGCACTCGGTTCCATTCGCTTGGGATCACGCAGCTGAGGGCTGGGTGGGTGCAGACGGCAGCCCGCCTTAGCGAGCCCAAAAGCAACGCTGAGGGCAGAAGCGTCGGGTCGCAGGACACACGGCTACATCCGCAGGGACAGTGGCCCTGGGAAGGTGGAATGCCGTTTTATCCAGTCTGTAGCGGGACCTCTGTGTGAGGCAGAGCAGCTGCTTCCTGTTCCCTATCTCAGTCCCATCGTAACCCCCTCCTCTGCCTTCAGGAAGACCCCCTCTTCCTCTTCTGGGCTCCAGGCGCCCAGCCCTCACTGTGTGCAGGGTGCCCCTGCAGGAGGAGGGCTCATCCCTCTCCCCCTTTAACTCCAAGTTCCTCCTTCATTCCCATTGGAAGTTCTTTTGTGACAAAAATCACCCTCAAGAGCATGGGACACAAAGCCAAACTGCTTGGGCTCAAGTCTGAGCTCTGCTGCGCGACTTGGGCAAGTTGATTCCCCTCTCTGTGCTTCAGCCATGTAACCGGGGACAGCAACACCACCTGAGTTGCCCCAAGGAGTAAAAGAGCAAATGCTAGGGACCTAGAGAATGCCTGGCACATAGTAAATGCTCAGTAAACAGGGCCATTGTTACTTCTTCCAGAAAGTTTGGCTCTGGCAAATCAAAAGCATGCCTTTTAAGACCTACGTCTGTGTCTTAAACCCAAACATTCTAATATTTGGGCTCCCCGAATCAGCTTTCCCCACTTCAACAGTTCTGCATACAAGAGGCACTTTTTTTCTTAGTGCAAGGAAGTTAAAAAATGAGAGGACCCTCACTGGTTAATGTGCCCAAATGACATCTGGCCACAGAATCCATCTCCCGCCCTAGCCTCGGGGTCTCCACCTGCAGAGCCTCGCTGACCCCTCCTCTCCAGCCCACCTTCCTCCCCCATGCACTGGATTCTGATCTCTGGGGTTGTTCTTCTCCCCCTCTTTTGTGAGGATTCAGGGATTGGCTGAGGTGTCACTTGGTCACAGAGGCTCTCCCTCTACTGTGTAAGGACCACCGTGCCCCCAGCCATTCCCACCTGTTATCCACTGTTGCCATAGCACTGCCCTGTTCTGAACTCACATTGTCTTCTAGTTCATTGTTTGTCTTCTCTGATCAAGATTCAAGCTCAAAGGAAAAGAAAAAGGCAAGCGCCACCTGACAGAGACCCTGCCTGTCTTGTTCATCCCTGAGTTTTTGATATATATTTTAGTTGTTGCTGGACGTTAATTTGATTTGTTTATATGTGGTGCTGAGACTCGCCGGTATCTCTACCAAAAGCTTCTGGTGGCTGCATCTCACCTGCCCTCAGAGGAAGCAGAAGTGTGGGAGGAGGACTGGGCGCTGGTGTGAACACTACCTGGCCACCTCCTCTGCGGGAACTCTCACTGTGCATTACCAACACTGTCCTCCAGGGGTCTCTTTCTCCTTTTTTTTTAGAGAGAGAGAGAGAGAGAGAGAGAGAGAATTTAAATATTTATTTTTTAGTTTTTGGCGGACACAACATCTTTGTTTGTATGTGGTGCTGAGGATCGAACCCGGGCCGCACGCATGCCAGGCGAGCTTGCTACCGCTTGAGCCACATCCCCAGCCCTCTTTCTCCTTTCTATTGAGGATCATGCCCTCAAGATACCGGTATCTCGAGTATTCCACGGTGCATACCCACATTAAAAAAAAAATCTGTCCACTGATTGACAGATACTTATATTGATCCCACATCTTGGCCATGGTGAGCAATGCTTCAGTAGACACGGGTGTGTCGTTATGTGTTGACACAATGATTTCAAGTCCTTTGGATTGGGATTACTGGATCATTTAATTACTTTTAGTTTTTTAAGAAATTCCATATTATTTTCCATGTGCCTATATTAATTTACATCATCACCAACAACCTTTTGTGGTTCCATTTTCTCCACATTTTTGCCAACACTTGCTATCTTTCTTTTTTATAATAGCCATTTTCAAGTGTTAGGTGAAATCTCATTGTGGTTTTTGATTTGTATTGCCTTGATGATGTGGAGCTTTTTGCCATATATTTGTTTGACATTTTTATTTCTCCTTTTGAAAAATGTTTATTCATGTCCTTTGACTATGCTTTTTTCTTTATTTTTATGGAGATATGTCTTGCTCTGTTGCTGTGGTGTCAGAATCCTACCCTTCCGACACCATAGAACATGGTGACTATAGTGAATACCGATGTCTTGCATACACACCCTGTAATCCCAGAGGTTTGGGAGGCTGAGCCAGGAGGATCACAAGTTCAAAGCCACCCTCAGCAACTTAGAGAGGCCCTAAGCAATTTAGCAAGTTCCTGTCTCAAAATAAAAAATAAAAAGGCTGGGGATTGGCTTGATGGTTAAGCATCCCTGGGTTCAATCTCCAAAACCAAAAAATAAAATAAAATAAAATTCTAGATTCAAGTAATCTCGTGCCTTAGCCTCCCAAGTAGCTGGGACTACAGGCATGCACCAGTCTGTCCCGTTTAAGCAATTTAAAAATAAGGTTGTTTTCTTGGTATCAAGTTGTTTGAGTTCCTCATATATTTTGGGTATGAACCCTTGTCATGGATGGTTTGCCAATATTTTCTTCTATTCCATAAGTTATCTGTTTCTTTTTCTTTCCAGAATCTTTTAATTGTATATAATCCCATCATTTTTTATTTCCTGAGATTTTGGGGTCAAACCCAAACAAGAAGGAGTGGGTGAAGGGCATGTGGCATACATGCTCATGGAACACTACGCCATCTTTTTTGTAATGCTTGTTGTGGTTTGGATGGGAATCATCCCTTTATTTTATTTATGTGGTGCCGAGGATGGAACCCGGTGCCTCCCATGGGCTAGGCTACGCTCTGCCACTGAGGCCCAGCCCCAGCCCTAGTCCACCTTTAAAAAGAAGGGAAGTCTGTCACTTTGCCACCATGTGGATGAACCAGGAGGACATTATGTTAAGAGAAATAAGTCAGCCACAGAAAGACTGCATGGTCTCACTTTTATGTGGAAACTCAACCGTGGAGCGTGGACCAGCCGAGGGTAAAATGGTGGCTGCCAGAGCTGAGGGGTGGGTTCTGGGGAGAGGTCCGTCACAGGATACAAAGTTCCAGTTAGACAGGAGGAAGAGGCTCAGGAGCCCCTTGTGCAACACGGTAGCTGTAGTTAATAGCAACGTGGAGCCGTGGAGAGTTGGTTCCAGGGCCTCCTGGAGATGCCTAAATCTACAGGTGCTCAAGTCCCTGGTGTAAAATGGCCTAGTGTTTGCAAAGGACCTACATGCCAAGCAACTCAGCGGGACCCTGTCTCTAATAAAATACAAAATAGGGCTGGGGATGTGGCTCAGTGGTCCAGTGCTCCTGAGTTCAATCCCCCATGGTCCCCCAAAATGTTTTAAATGTAATTGACAAATAATAATTGCACTCCTTCATGGGATATAATGTGACGTCTTGATGTACTCATTGTGGAATGAATGATTATATCAGGCTAATTATCGGCTCACCTCGCATATTATTTTGTGCTGAGAACATTTAAAATCTACTTTCAGGAATTTTGAAGTATACCAGACGTGCTCATTGACCATGGTCAGGATGGGGTGCCACAGGTCATTCCTCGGGCCCCAGTGAAACTTTGTACCCTCTGACCAACATCTGCCCATCCCCCGCGCTCCTCCTAGAGTCTGGCAACCTGTCCTCTGCTTCTGAGATGGATTTGGGAGAAGACCTGGTGTCTCTCTGGGCCTGGCTTCTCAGCATAATGTTACCACATGAGCTACCGCCCAGCGCGGAGGAGCCCTCGGTCCACCGCCCGCAGTCCACACAGTTGCTGTCACCCTGCGGTCAGTACCCACCCTGGCTCCCGGGTTCCTGCGGGTCAGCTGGGGCAGCTCTGGTCGCATTTGGTCCAACCGGTAACAAACTTGTTTTGGCTGCTTCTCTGCCCAGTGCGGATCGTCAGCTCGC